AGGTTTTTGAAAAACCATCATAAAAGTCTTGGGTGTCTAGTTGCTGAATATTAACTGTCTAGAGAAAACATGGCTGCTGCTCAAATAGAGGGGAGAGTTGGGGAGCAAGGCCGCTTGGTTTTCAGGGATGGGTCACAGGAATGAGGCTAGTGGTGCAGTGTCAGAAAGAGCAGGTTTCCTTTTCCTCTGAAACTACAGTGAAGGTGTGGATGATGGATGGAGACAGAAGTGTGTTGATGTGGGTGGCATGGGTAAATCGGGCATCCTTATGAGTATTTGACCTCAGGAAAAAAGGTCAAGGGCATGGTCAACTACTGAAGCCGAATGTATGATGGAATTTATTTTTGTTCATTCATGTATTCATTTAGCCAGCATGTTAAACACCCACCCTATACTGTGGCAGGCCTGAGGGATTTACACACACATAGTTCTAGCCCTGGCCCAGAGTAGTTACTACTGTGTGTTTGCAAGGGAATCAAGATAAAGGAACTGAAAATAGTGTAGAAACAACAGAATGTGAACATTGCAAATCAATATTGGACACCTAGGAACCAGATCCTAACAGGCAAGCCCCTTCCCAACAGGCAGGTTGGAGGGATCTGTGGTTGAGGGGCTGGTATTGTGGGCACTCTGGGAAGACCAGGTGGAATGTGATTGGTGAAAAGTGACACACAGAGTACTAGCCATAGTACTGAAGCTAGAAAGGAAACCTGGTATAACAGGAGAGCCGATGGTTTCATAGAGAGTAAAAGGTGAGATGTTATAGCCAGGTCTTCGTGCTTAGCCAAGTATATGGCATTGAGTGAGGCTGTATGTCTAGTAATGCAGTAGGATTTTGGTTTCATCCATCCTGGGTATCCTTAGGAAAGTCATTTAGCTTGATCTGACTAGCTTAATCAATCATTGGCATAGAGGCATTCACCTGTAGCATGGGCAATTTTGTGTTACCAGTTGATTTCTTTAATTCCAGGTTATCTGCATCCAGATTTGTCAAAGGCTGTCTGCCTTCTGCAACATTCTGGTCTATGGAATCTTCCATAGCAACATCAAGAAAAGAAAAAAAAAGAATTATTTGTACTGGATTGAAATGGAATGTGCATGGGCTTTGAGGACCTAGGTTTGAATACTGGCTCTACTATTTAAAATAGTACAGTGAACTTAAGCAAATCACTTTTTCATTCCTAGTCTCACTTACCCAATTTGTGAGTTATATTCAGTAGTGATTGTCTCCCAGGATTGTTGTGTGGACTCAGTGGGATAATAGAGAGGTAAAGCAGTTACCATAGTGCCTGGCCTATCTTGGTACTCAGGAAACATCATTGCCTCTTTTCTTTCTTTAATTGGGAATAGCCACATCATTGCTGTAAAGTTTGAAGCCCAGCACGTCAGTAGCTGAGCTAACACCTGCTTCTTAAAGACATGCAGGCACCTGCTTTGGTTTCTCAATCTTATAGGATGGAGTCCATCTGAGGTCACTCTTCCTTCCCTTCTCTACCTTTATGGTCTTAGGAACAGGCTTCTCCCAACTAAACATATAATTTAGCTAATATGTTCAAAACCCATGTCTGCAAGTGACAGGATCCCAACATAAACCTAATAAAAAAAGTGCTTTATTGGCTCAGATAGCTGGGAACTTTGGGGCTTCAGGCACACCTAGATCCACAAAGTTCAAATGATGATCTCCAGACTTTGTCCTCATCTCTGATTCTATTTTTCTCCCCGTGGTATAGATACAGATCTATCAGAGTCCCAGATTCATGCCAAGCTAAACTACGGACTCCAGCATGGGGGCATGGAGTGGGGAACAGAGGTAGGGAGCAAGACACATCTTTCTCCTAGTGTCTATACATATCGTTTAGCAATGGACTCTGATTGCACAGAACCCAGTTGGGTCCTTTGGCCATCCTCGGAAGAATCACTCCTGTGGGAGGGGTGTGTGTAGAAGAGCTGGGGAACTGAGAACTCTAATCTGGCCTAACATGAGTGGTATGCCCAACTCTGGGCAGCGGTGAGAGGAACAAGGCAAAGTGCTCAATAGTCCTACTGGAACCACAAAGAATGGAGGAAGGGCTAGATCGCTAAGCAGACACACTACAGCTCTCCACTAAACACAGCCACCATATACCACTCTTCTGTTGCAGAGTCATAATGTGCTGTGTGATAGAGTCCTGTGAAATGGTGAGGTACACTATCTCTTGGGAAGATGAACGAATGCGGTACACCGTGGAGAGGTGTACTGCACAGATGTAAGGTAAGAGACACTGTGGGGAGCTCAGGGACACTGAGGTGAGGGGCAGTGTTGCAATGCACACACCAGAGAGCCCAGCTCTCTGCTTCAGCTGTTTCTCCCCCTCACCACCCAGTCTCTCAAGACGACCAATTCATAGGTCTGTGCTCTTTTCCTTGCACTGGACCTGGGACTCCCTCCACACAACTTGGCTATTTCCTCGCTGAGCACCTCCTTTCTTTAAGCCATCCCCTGAAGGTAGTAGCATTTCATACACTGTCTTTGGGCAGGCCACAACACTGATTACATTGAGTTACACCACTGGGCACGTAATGAGGGCTTGATGGATGAATGGGTGATAATGCATTACTGAGAGGGTGAAGAGAGCAAATAACTGAACTCATCCTCACATTTAACAACCATTTATTAACACATAAATGAGTAAGGCGTGGCCCCCATTCTCAGAATGCTTGGTACAGAGGGGCAGACAATCACAAAGCTGCAGCAGAATCACAGCAGAATAAGTACTATCACTGAGGTACAGACAAAGTACTTTGGAGGCACTGTAATAAGAGAGATATACACAGGTGAGGGAGGACAATTTTCCAATTTGTACCTGCCTAGAGCATTCAGGGAAGGCTCCAGAGAAGTCACCTGTAAGTTGAGTCTTGAAAGATTAGAAGCCACCAGGTGAACAGTCAAGGAAGGAGCCCTACAGGCTGGGACTCAGAGACGCAGGTAAGGTCAGGTAAGCGAGGGGTTCGGGGAACCAGGCATAAATCATGGAATAAGGAAAAAATAGTAAGGACTGAGAAGGGCTGTCAAGCACAAACCCATAGCTCTACTGTGGAAATTTAAAGGTCTTGTTCCTCCATAGAGAGGGAAGAGGGACAGAGGGTGGAAGGTCCTCAGACATGGGTCCCTGCTGCTTCCTTAATCAGGCCATGGGGCTCAAACACCAAGGCTAGAGCTTCACAGTTGTGATCTAATATTCCTAAGCCACTAAATTGTCAAAAGCCCCTTTTCAGAAGGGAATAATTTGTATGAATAATGCATTTCTAAATGGGAGAGCATCCCTACTATATTCGTCTTTATCAGATGCTGCTGATTCTGCCTAAAAAAATAGTTCTACTTCTATCAGTAAATCAGGGGAAGTTGGGCTAGAGTTGAGGCCTTGCAGTGATCTCACAACTGAATGGTAAAATGGATGGGTAAAGTGTCTATTTTTTAACAAAATTCTATTTATGTATGAACATAAAACTCAAAAAAATATATTTACAAACCCATCTTATTATTCCTGTCTGCTTCATTTACTTTTCATACCCATATGTGTTTTCATATGCTTAAATGAAAAAACCCTTTTAAGCTTTTTAATTTTAATTTTTCCATTTAAATGTTTTTAATTTTTCGATTTTTATTTAAATGTTTTATTTTAAAGGTTTTAAATTTTTATCCTTGTTTAGTTTTTATTTAATCTGAAATTGAACTTGTCTAAAGTTCTTTGTATATTTTTAAATTCTCTATTCTCTAATTTTTCCTTTTAAGATTTTTTTAAATTGAAAAAACTTAAACTTTGTATTCTTGTCTTGAGTTGCTCTAACTTTTCTTTTTAAAACTTTTCTCTCAACTTAAATTTGAATTTTCAAACAAAACAGAAACAGACTCATGGATATAGGGAACAGACTGATGGTTGCCAGGTGGGAAGGGGATTGTGGGGCTGGGTGAAAAAGGTGAAGGGATTAAGTACAAATGGTAGTTACAAAATATAATAGTCACAGGTATGTAAAGTACAGCATAGGGAATATAGTCAATAATATTGTTTAAAAACTATGTATATTGGCAGGTGGGTACTAGATTGGGGGGAATCCCTTTGTATAGTATATAAATGTCTACCCACTATGCTATACACCTGAAATTAATATAAAATATATTGTCAACTGTAATTGAAAAAAATATTATTCCATTTCATCTTGGTGTTCTAGATCCAATATCAGCCATCTACAAAACCATTAAGTAATCAAAGTTTCTGCTCCCCTCCCCACATTATCCCCTATTATGAATTGCTATGATCACTACCATGGGGCCTGTTTCAAGATATTCTTCATCCATCAATCTAATCCTTACTACATTCCCTAATATTCTGGTTATCTCATCTGATAAAATAATTGATGCAAGGGATTAATGTATTAGTCATTGCACTGGACTTCCCAGTGCCATGTGTGTGCAGCCTACTGTGCTAGGGTTGGGATGACAGAGTTCAGAGTCAAAAAGGGGCGAGGTTAGATAGTCACACAGTAAACAATCTGATAAATGCTATAATAAAGATAACAAAAAAAATAAACTTTCATTCCACTCTGTATTTTTTGAAAATTTATTTTAGTCATTAAACTTTCATGAATTTTGTTAACACATATTTTCAACACATATTTTATGCTCTAATTTTAAAAGATTTATGTATATTAATTTTAATTAAACGTGTTACCTTTTTTAACTTTTTAAAGCTGATTCACTTTAACATTTTTGTAAACATTCAATTTTAATTTTTCCTTGTTTTATTCACATTTAAACTAAGAATTTCTAAAATCTGTTAAGCGCTATTTTAACAATTTTGATGTTTTAAATAAAAACGCTTCCATTTTTAAAACATTGAAAAATATCTAACTTAATTTTTTCAAATTGAAAAAACAAACATTATGTAACTTTCCTAACAATTGTAACCCCAATAAACTTTAATTAAAAAAAGAGACTGAAAACATTTTTTTCTTTTAAAATTAAAAGTTTTTTCTTTTGAAATTTTCTTTTAAAGCTTTTCAAAAATTTTCAAATATTATCTTTTTTTCAAACTATTTGACTGGTCAGCCACAGCTGGAACATCAATTGTGGTTGTTACTGATGAAAGAATACTCCCTGACTTCCCACAGTATTTTTGTAGGAACAAATGACATATAGTAGTGCCAGAACATCTCTATTTCCACTCTCCCCACCTAAAACATTCATTTAATTATGGTTTATGTGACCATTTTTTACCTCTCCTCCCTCCTCCCATTTCTTAAGGCTGAGTGGTCACTAGTTAGTCTTCTTTTTTTCCCCCCACAGGCCATGGTAAAATGCATTCTTTATACGAAGGTGCTAATTATCACATAGGTGATGTTGTCATTGTCAGTTCCAGGAGGTTTTTGTGATACTTCAAGAGGTGCTCATTGTTGTATGGGTATTGTCATTGTCCATTTCAGGTAGGTTTGTGTGTAGCTTCAGGATCTTGCCTATTCATTTCTTTTACTTTTTTCTGCTAAGTGGTCTGGTAAGACTACTCTTTCTCTAGATCCTGTTTGTGATAGAACAGTAGATACCCTTCGCTGTAGAGCAAGTCCTCAATGGTAGCCTTGGTGATGACAGCATCATCACAGCTGAACCACTGGTCCTTTTGCTGCCGGATAAAGCTGGTGTAGTGTCCACTTTCCAAAGTTCCATGGTGATTAATCACTGCAACCAAGGAATACTTATTCTCGTTGGGTGCACATTCTGTTGGTGGTTGGTCAGCTTTCATTCTGCTCTCTTTAGTGGAGGCCAAAAATGGAGTCATGTCCAGCTCCAAGGGAAAGGAGATCAAAGTATTAATCTTTCGTCTCTGTTTGCCTGAATGTTCAAACCGCTTTAGATGAAAACAGGCCACAATGGGTAATTTCTTCATTGTGAGCTGTTTGGTAGATTCTTGGTAGCTTTGGCAAGTATTGCATTTGATTTTGGCACTGCTTCCTAGGTGTTCTGGCCTTGTAAACCACTGGAGGCAGTCTGTGAGCGAGGGGATTCCTGGTGTGTGGTCATCCCTACACACTGTGCTGTCAGCCGTCTCTGGACTCTGGGAACCGAATGTGGCATAAGAGCCAGGCAAGTCCAAACTGATGTCCCAGCATGGGTCTATTGTGGTAGAGACGCTATGGCAAGCTTGACATGTGACATCTGACTGCAAGCCACCTGTAAAGATTTGGTCTATAATGCAGTTACAGCAGTTGGGGTTACTGGCTTCCTGCTCAACACTGTCATCTTTGCTGTGTCTATGCAGCACATCTAATACTGCAATAAGGAACTCATGGGCATCGTGTTGCCTGTACCCTGCTAAGTGTTCTGCATGAATCCATATCAGGTGCAGTAACTTATAGGGAATGTGAGGCGTTCGGCTCCCAGAGTACATAGCATGAAACAGAGAAGTCATTTCACAGACAAGACACAAGCTAGGGCTTGTCATTATACATTTGTGCTTGTTAGAGAGAAAGAAATCTTTCAGTAGAGGAATATGGGTAAGTGCCTGGACAATACAATTCATAAAGCAGGTGTTTCCAAGATTGATTAGCCCTCTCAGGCCTACAGTATACACTGACGTTTTTCTCCTCTTTTTGTTGGGTTTCACCAATTCTGGCTGCTGTTCCTTTGACTCACAGGTTGATTGCTTCTCTTCAACACCTGATGCCAGACACTGCTGTTGAGAAACATCTGTTGAGGTGGAAGTTAATAATTTCAACATTTTCTCTTTTGTTTCTTTGGCAATCTGCTCTATGTCTTTATCATATACATAATCCTTACACATAAAGCAATATATAACCCCATGATAGAGGTCTACAGCTAAATTGTGCTGTTCTGTTTCTGCATGTTTATGTATATGTTTCTCAGTAAAGCAACCAAAAAAGACACAGGAGAGACAAGAGTGGAGTCTGTTCATATGGGTACTACATACACGACAGATGCAGGACTTTGCCTTACGCTTCCTAGTCTCCGGGGTCCCACTCCAAACGAAACGCTGGTAGATCAGCCGAAGGTTCTTCTGCCAATTCTTCGCTACTTTAAAGCTCTCCACATGAGAGCAGCCTGCGGGACCCTGACCAAACTCCACATCCAGCAGCCAGTCCCCAAAGCCACCTAAGTCACCAGAACTGCTTTGCCGCGTCCGAGGCCTGGACGCCGGCCGGGATCTACGCTGAGGTCGGGGCCGGGGCCGGGGCTGCGGCGGCTGCGGCGGCAGCGGCGGCTGCGGCGGCAGCGGCGGCTGCGGCGGCAGCAGCGGCAGCGGCAGCAGCAGCGGCCAAGCCTTCGGACAGCGGCGGCGGCAGTGGAGGCGGC